GGTTTGTATTATAAAAGGATTGACATATGACGTGAGGAAGTTTGGGATATTTCGGAGAATGTTTGAGGAGATTAGAGGGCGCTTGTTGTAATTTAAATGAGCCCTCGGGGCTGATCCTGTGCACAGACGAATCCCCCGAGAATATTCAATGTTTTCCAACTAGAATGCGTGAGGAATTCACATCTCAAAGTTGAGACGGGTCTCCAACTCATAATTGATTCGATCTCGAAGTAATATTCAGGGTTGGAATGATTTATCGACGCTTGAATGAATTTTATTGAGGAATTAATGGGTAAGGGAATTTCCGCTTCTCTCTGGGAACATGTAATTACTCATATATGGCATTTCTAGGTTACACTTGTCCTGAGAATGATTAGTTTTATTAGAGAACATTGGGAGACATTTCTCGCAGCTGAGAAAATGTCCAATATGAAATGCTCCTCGACATTCTTTCCTGATATAAATCATGGTGGGAGAAATTCGATGTTTAGACAGATATGAGAGAGTTATTCTTCCATGAATAGCTGTGTCGTTGTATCTGTCATTGAGAAAATTCCAGAATTCTTTTCCTCTTGTATTATACTGTGTATTTGTCTAGTGCGACAATTGACGAGGAATTGCTTCATATCAGAAAATATAAACGAAATGAATTGACCAGTAAACTCACTCAAACGAGTGATATTGCCATCTTTCAATCCATTTCATTGTACGAAGACTAGCACATTTTATTGTGAAATTCATTGTGATGAAAGGTTCAGATAATTGTTTTACGTGCAAATAATTAGTTCTCAAAATTAAATTCGAGTCCAATGAAACTGATTAGGAAATTAATGAGGAAGAGAATTGTGTTCCTTTCTGAGGAAATGTAATTAGTTAAGTGACATTTCAAAGGTATACTTATCTAGAAAATAATTAGTTCTATGGAAAACATTGAAAGGTATTTTTCGTAGCGGAGGAAATTTCCGAAGGAGAATATTTTCCGACATTCCTTCCCAAAATAAATCATGATCTGAAAAATTAGATTCTCACGAGAACATGAGAGAGTTATCCCATAAATAGTTTTGTCGTTGAATTATAATTGACGAAACTACCAAATGCTCTTCCTCTCAAATCATATTCTTTGTTTTTCGATTTGAAGAAATAACGAGACAGTTTTGCTCCAAAACCGATGAATTTGGACTATAAACTTCAAATGAAATAAGTTTACAAACGAATAATGCCTGATTCAAATGAACGATGTCTCCAACGTTCAATTCATTTCATTGGGCGAAGATGCAACATATTTTACGGTTGTGTTCATTATGATGAAAGATTCAGAATATTTGACTTCTGAGTAATCACTTTTTAAAAGTAAACTCGCGTTGAATGAAACTCATTAGAAAACAAAGAGGACTGGAATCTCGTCCCTTTCAGAGAAAATGTAATTAGTTGAAAATGACATGTCAAGAGTATAGTCATCTAGAAAATGATTAGTTCTACGGGAAACATTGAGAGGTATTTTTCGTGGCTGAGGAAATGGCCGACAGAAAATATTTCTCGACATTCTTTCCCAAAATAAATCATGATCTGAATAATCACATTCTTATGAGGACATGAGAAAGTTAGAAAAAATTCAAAGATAATCACCTTACCAACATTATTGTCCTTCTATAAATATTTCTTTCGTTGAATTTATAATTGACAAAACTTTCGAATTTTCTTCCTCCCAAATCATATTCTCTGTTTTTCGATTTGGAGAAATAACGAGACAGTTTTGCATGAAACCGATAAATTTGGACTAGAAGCTATAAACGAAATAAGTTAAAAAATAAACTGACTCAAACGAATAATATCTGCAGCTTTCAATCCATTTCATTCGATGAAGATTCAAAATATTTTACTTCTGAGTAATCAGTTCCTAAAAGTAAACTCATGTTGAATGAAACTCGTGGGGGAATCACTGAAGAATGGAATTTTGTTTCTTTCAGAGAAAATGTAATTAAAAATGTATGAAAAATGAATTTTCAAGGGTATATCATCAAAAGAATGATTAGCTCTATTAGAAAAAAAATCGGAGACATTTTCTTAGCTGAGAAAATGTTCGAAAGGACATACTTTCGACATTCTTTCTCAAAATAAATCTCGTGACCTGAAAAATTGAATTTTTATCGGGACATGCGAGTTATCCTTCTACAAGCAGTTTTGTTGTAGAATTTCTAAATGACAAAACTGTAGAATTTCCTTTTTCCCATATTAAATTTCCCATTTTTCGGTTGTAAGAAATAACGAAAAGGTTTTGCTTCAAAACAATAAATGTTGATTAAAACTATAAATGAAATAAATTGACAAATGAAGTCCTCCACACGAATCACATCTCCATCTCTCAATATATTCCATTGTACAAACACTCAATATATGTTACTGTGTTATTCAAATAAATGTTTTCATTATAAATAATTAATTCTCGGCATTAAATGCGTATGAAATTGAATTGTATGAATCGTTTCCCATAGTAAACACTTTATTTTGATAAATATAAAATCCTCCAACCAAATCCAACATTCAAGACAAGAGATGTTTTTATTCACTCCGAAAAGAAAATTGGAGCAGAAATAATCGAAAAAAGAATCGTTGAATAATATATCAATACTATAAAATTCCACTCTCGAATGATCAACTGTTATTTAAACGGAGACTTTAAATTTAAATAATAATGATGAAAGATTCAAATGAATGTTTTGATTATGAATAATCCATTCTCAGCATTGAATTCGTATGAAATTGACTTTTATGAATATTTTCCCATATCAAACACTTTGTTTTCACAGAAGTAAAATCCTCCAAACAAATCTAACATTCGTGGCGAGAGATTGTTTTTATTCACTCCAAAAAGAAAATTGGAGCGCACGTGGAAACGCGGAGAGGGAATATCTCACATACGAAATAAAAACACAAGCAAAATTCCACAATACCTCCAGCCTTTTATCGCTGCATACACATTTCAAAGTATCATTGCAGTATTCATTGAGATGACCAATGAGAATGACTTCTCCATTGTATTGAATCGTCTTTTTATATTACTGAATTCTTTTGAAATACAATTCCTCCCATGAATATCTTCACCTCATTCTTCATTTTCATGATAAACACGAGCAAACGAATAGGGGAGGATGGGGCAAAACGGTCCCCCTTCAATCGTCAATATTTTCCGATTCAATAATCCGATTGGGATGAGTTAGAGCTCGTTTTGAAGAATGAAAAATTATCTTCAAAATGAAGTTGAAACTGGGAATTTTCACAATGTCATTCACAAGTTATTGACAATTGAAGGGGGGCCGTTTTGCCCCACCCTCCCCTATTTAAAACAAATTTAAAGTTCAAGACGATTTTTTCACTCCAAACAACAAATTGGAGCAGAAGTAATCGAAAACTAGAAATCCAGAGGGATAAGGTCTGTTAAATAATATTGCTATATTATAAAATTCCATTCTTCGTACAAAACTCGAAAATGAATCAGAAAACAAGAATATTTAAAACTAATTCAAAGTCCAAGATGATTGTTTCACTGCAAAGAGCCAATCGGAGCAGAAATAATCTAAAACTAGAAATCCAAAGAGATGAACTTTGCTCAATAAATTAAACTAAAGTGGATAAAGTAAATTATAGTAAATAATATTACTATATTGTAAAATTCCATTCTTCAATAATCGTCTATTACTCAAACAAAGAGTTTAAATTCAAAAAATAATAATTAATAATATTGAAATAATGTGCGATTCACCATGGAAACACTTAAATAAATTCGATGGATATTCGGGAATTTCTCAGAAAAAAAAATCAAAAATAAAATTCGCTATTCAACCAAAATAGGGGAGAGTGTGGAAAAATAGATTATATTTGTTTTTCAATGTTCATAACTCAGAAATAAATTTACCAATTGAGCCCAGTCTAGGATCATGACGAAGAGGAACAATTTTACTTTCCATTGAAAAAAAATTATTCCTATTTATTAATACTTCAACGACTTATTAACATTTGAAAGAAAAGTCACAAGTGTTCATTTTACCCCACCCGCCCTATTTAATCACTTAAGAATATCCAAGTATCTTTTACAGCTTGGTACAGACCACACTATAGATTCCACCATTTTCAGTCATCAAATATGCCAATTATATAGCGTGAAAAAAATATTTTTTTTCAACATTCTTTGTTTATAAATAAATAATTGAAGTTGTTTAAACTTTCGGAAACTTCATTTTTCTAGGCATGAAATCAATTTCTGGTAACATTCAGAATATGAATAAATTTATTACGATTTCAAACAAATGATTTTTATGATGAACAATGGATTGCTAATCAATTATTTATACAAAATGCTCGTCGTTTTCAAAAATTGCAATTTTGATATTATTTCATTAATCTTCCTCTAAAAGTAAACTTTCTATTTTTTTCAGATTTCCCAAATGTTTTCTAGCGATTCAATAACGGAATTCAAATTCAGACCTGCAAACTTTAAATAATCAAATCACTGTAAAATGTCCGGAAACTTATGGTCAAATGTGGCTCAAATGAAAGCTCTGATGTTCGTCTACAAAAGTAGAAAAGCATTTCACTGGAGAGAAAATAGCCAAAGTACTTGGATATCTTTAATTTCCATTGAAAAAAATGCCAGGATTTCCTTGATGACATCACTTTGGAAAAAAACTCTGAATCCCCCCCCCCAAACCCCAATAACAATGACGATGTGCAATAACACCCCTCGCCCTCAAACGAACCCACAGTCCAATGAACCCAATCCTCTCAAAACAAATCGTCCAGTCTGATCGATTAGAAATTAAAATGGCCACATTGCGATGCAATAAAAATTGCATTCAGTACCGATTGAGTCCAGTCATCGTTCCTCATTTGAATGCCCCCGAGTGAGCCATCTACAAAAATACCCGGAAGTCGGCACGCCCCCACCTCCCACAACAAAACCAAAAAACCCCCCCAACCTCCAGGAGAAATTTGAATTGACTCACCTGGTTGAGAGATGTCGAGATAATTTCAGGTGTCTGCGGCAGCATTTTAACGCCAATCATGATGTCACCGGTGATCAGCAACTCTCGGAGTATCACAGATGAGTGAACATAATAGAACAATCACTCGACAAACGTCAAACGTTGATGTAAAAACAATAGAATCAAAATCAGAGGTACACAGATATACAGCACGATCGATATCACTTCAGTATCCAAGGTAAAACTGCCACCAATGGACTTTATTCATCTGCCCGGGGCGATTATTTACGTTTAAATACGACCCCCGGTGCAGCGGGTGAGTGAATAAAAAAGGGTTGATCAAGTTTCTCCGTATTTAGTTTCCATTTAAATCGGAAACACGAGACGGTGCGAAAAAAATCGGAGGAGTACACCTTCCCTCGATGAGACCGTGCGCGGTACTGCCTTTCAGTCCGGGCGGGTATTGGATAGCCTGCGCACCGATTCTCACCGATCACTCACGAATTTCACCGAACTGAGTTTACTCTCTCCGTGACGAAAAATCGTAGTACTCACGGTGTATAGTATTGGAAAATTTTGTGTCTGCGTGAGATGAGACTGTGTGGGTGCGGACTTTGGAGATTTATTATTTACGAGGTGTCTTCTCCAGTAATAGAACGTTAAGAGAGGAGCGATCTGATAGGTAATAAGTTCCTGGTTCTGGGAAACTGGTGGAGAAATAAGGCATGGGAAATTAATGGAGATGTGATCTTTTGGGGGAGTTTTCTTTATTTTGTTTCTCTTTTCAATTGTTCATTGGTGATTGTTGGTGGGAGAGAAGGTTTTTGGGGGGGAGAAATTGGTTCGGCAATGTTTCGGGGAAGAATGGGAATTTGGCAATTCAATTTAACGGAACAGGTATTTAAAAATGTCTAGGTTTTTTTTATTTAAGCATTTCTGAACAATTACAGTTTAATTTGCATACATATTTCTTGTTATAAACGTGAGATTATGTAAACTATTTACAAATGTTGTGGTCGCTTAGAACTATTAACAATACACTTCAAATTTTTATGCAACATTTGACAAGAAACTCGTTAATTATAACGAGACAGTTTTTATCTAATCTAATTAAAAATTCTCGTGCATGATATGGTGGAACAAATTTTTGGTTCACAAGTTTTTGAAACAAGATTTGTCTGGAATAGTATCCAGATACTTTGGTTTTTTCCCCAGTGAAATGCTTTTCTAGTTTTGTAGTGGAACATCAGGGCTTTCATTTGAGCCGCATTTGACCGTAAGTTCCCGGACTTTTTACCATGATTCTGTTATTTAAATTTTGCAGGACTGAATTAGAATCTCGGTATTGCACCGTTAGAACATATTTGAAAAATCTGAAAAAAAATTAGAAAGTTTATTTTTGGGGAACGATTGAAGAAATAATTAAAAATTTTCAATTTTTGAGAATTACGAGTATTTTTTATAAATAATTTATAAACAATTTTCCAGCATAAAAATCATGTGTTCGGAATCGTAACAAATTTATTCATACTTAGAATTTTATCAGAAACGAATTTCATGACTAAAAAAATGAGTTGAACAACGAATATTTTAAAAAATAATTCTGTGCAAAATGTAATTTTAATAATGCTGAATGTTCTCTTTTTTTAAATTTTTTCGCGCAATTTAATTGACAAATTTGATGCTCGAAAATGGTTGAAACTATCGTGTGGTCTGTACCAAACTATAAAAGGCACTTGGATATCCTTAAACCCTCAGAGAAATATCAAAAGTCTAAAAAATTCTGTTTGTAAAAGAACTTCACTGTTTCTTTACTGTTGAAATTATTTTAAGAAATCGAATAGTGTTTTCACATATGTACTGGGAGAAAAAATTAGTTCTGTCGAAAAATTATGTTCCTCTGAAGACATTTTTTGTTGTGTTGAATCAATTTACTTGTGAACAAGAAAGAAAGTTAGATGTGCACATAACGCAGAAGTGAGAGGGTTCTACAGCCAATAGTACTTAGAAAAGTCTGGAGAAAATTTCTATGGGGTGATCAGTAACCCCAGAGTACCCTTAGAGGGTTAACGTAAACAGCCATCTTTGAATATAACCGATCAGGGCTAAAAGGCGTTGAGAATGTTTTCGGAATTTTTTATAATAATTGCACTCATTTACACTGATAGAAAATTACTCCTGAAATTTCAAGTAAAAAATCTTGAAATTTTTAACAACGAATAATTTACATGGAATTTCCATTGATCTTGTTACTGATAAATCAGTCAATGTTCTTGAATATTCATATGACAATGAAAATTACAGAAAATTATGAAAATTCATGTAACTTTTCTTCTGAATTTTCAATCTGTCGCTTAATTTTCGCGATAAATTTGAAAATCCAAATTGTCATTGAAAATTCCATGACCATTCATAATGAAAAACTTAATTTTATTGAATTTCCAAGATGAATCAGGAATTCCGCGACCAATTTAGTCTGAAATTGAATTCAAGATCAGAATATTGAACATTCAAATGCATCCTTTACTTAAATTTCAACAAATTTCTAACAGTGTATTGTAATTTCAATTTCATCATTATGTTTCAGGGCGAATATAAATATCTAACATCGATCTATATGCTAAATTTTTCCAGACATTCTACATTATTTTGAGAGATATCTCGTAATGTTAACTTGATGGTATTTTAAAGACTCTTTCCAAGGATTCGTTTCACAGAAAAAATGGATGAGTTAAAAAAAATAGACTTCACCTTTTTTTTCATTCTGGAAGATAAGGCTCAATATTATCGAGGTCACTGTGGAATTCTCCAGTAGTTGACGTCATTTTTAACGAGTGTCCCGTAATGTTTATCCATCCGTCATATTTCAATGTATTTGTGATAACACAGATGTTGGGATTTTACCATATTTACTTCCGCCGATCTTTTTCAGGAAAAAAGAGAAATTAATTTTCAAAACAGAATATTCCAGTCCATTTGCTTTCGAAAGAGAAATTAAGCGTATTGTGTGTTCAACAGTATTGAATATTCAAATTCCAGCGCCAACATTATCAATTCTATTGTGGGATTTTCCCAGCAGTTCCTGTAGCCTTTATCGTATATCACTAATGGGTTCTTAATCATTCGTATTTAACATGTTGAATCAAAAAGGGATTATATTCAAAGGGAGACTATGGTGAAATTTGAATGTCCCCGTTAGAGCTGTGTAGGGACTTATTAGACGATTTTTGAAAGATAATGGCATATTTTTAAAAAATGGAAAAAATGATGATTATAGTGAATTTTGCCGCGTAATTTAACGAAAAGCAACGTTTTCTTCACTGTCGCACAAACGAAAATTTTACGCACGCTCTGTGTGCCCAAAATACAACTTTTCACACATTGTGACGAAAAACAGGGTTCGATGCTCATGGGAATACTGTTCTTTTCCTTTTGGAGGGCAGCACTCGCCTTCGGCGAGCACTACACACCTCCCACGGGTCATATCAAAATAGTAGACTTCGATACGAGTACTTAAAAGGGTTTTTTGCGAAGCGTGCGTTTAAACAACTTCAACAAAAAATTGCACTTTACGCACTAGTGATGAAACCGTACATTCAGGACGAGTGCCATGGGGTTTTTTACTCGCGTAGAGTTGGCACTCGAGAGGGAGGCGAGGACTGGCCAGTGGCCAACCACGCGAGTAAAAAAAACCCTGGCAATAGTCGTGAATAATATTTTTCCGTAGTGATTTTCACTTTTATGAGTTTGGGGAGGGACCAATACCGATCCCCGGACGAGGAAAGGTGAAGGTCAATACGGAAAAACATTTTTCTGCCACGACGGGCGCAAAGTGCACATTTCCCTTCCGCTGCGGGAGTGTTTTCCTACCTCATATGATTTCAGTAGCAAAGTGGTAAAAGGGTTCAGTCGACTCATCTTCCAGTTGAGTTTTTGAGAAATATTTCCGAATGTAAGGGATGGCGACATTTTCGTAATTACATTGGTTGTAGCACTCAATCGGCTCCACAAAAAAGGTTATAACAAAAATTTTGCTATCTCCCTTAGATTCCGAGATATTGATTAAAAATTGGTCAATAGTCAAAATTGACTCATACCGTTTTACCACTTCACTACTGATTTGTTCCATGGAAATTATAACTGTTTATTGGACGAAGATATACACTACTCAATACCATTCACTTCATAAAACCGGAGCCTCATATAATTCTCTGTAGAACGAATGTATTTACCCGAAGGACATAAATGTCTCACGAGAGCAGTTACTACTACGAAAATTATCATGTTTTTGGGTGGAAACTTTCTTTTTTGTCCAGAAATGCATTGATTCAACACGACAAACCATCTCTTCATGGGAAGATATAATTTATCGGCAGAACTAATTTTTTCTCTCACTGTACAGGACATTACTTCCAAAGAATCACTTGTAATAAAAGATGAATAAGAGTTGTATAAACTGTTGGCAATTTTATTTTTCTTGCGCAAAATCGCGATAAACGAGTGAAAACGGCAATAACATCGATGTCAGCACGCGAGTCAATCGAAAACAACATGTTTCTCATAAAAAAGAAGCCATAAATCATTGATGGAGTTGAAAATTATTTCCCAGTTGCAGGAATTGCGTTTTTTTGCTGAATAATTCTCCGACAATAATTTGAAAGTCTGATGACACATTTTTCATGTTCCAATTCTCTATTTTCCTCTCTACATACTTCATCTCCCACTTTCATTCGTCATTCTACGTAATTCCTCAAGGCAATTCACACAAGAATGTCTCACCTGTTTAAAGCGATGATGATAACGAGTGAGAATGATTGCGTCACGGATGGAGTGACTCAAGGCTCAGTGATGCCGGGGATTTTTCGGGTGAATTCTTCTTCATTCGTAGCGTCATGCTCCATGAAATGAAAGGCGCATGAGACAGACCCGGATTTAATGACCTTCGTTTATCGTTCATATCGATTTCTTCATGTCATTTCTATCATTTCTGTTTCATTTCGGAGAGGAAGAATTTTTTCATCGGAATTAACGAATAGTATGAGGTATTCCACGTCAAACGAGTCAATCACTGACCCTCACCCTCTTGGAAATTAGTGGCGATTTTTTCTAAGATCGGGGAGGTTGAAAAACTATCTCTCAAATTTTTTCAGATTTTTTCGGCAGCCCAGTTCGGAGATGTGATTTTTTTCACATTTTTCCGTTTTTTCCAATAACTCGAGTTCTATTTGTCCGATTTCAATTTATTAAGCGTCAAAATTTTCCATTTTTTACCGCTTATACGGCTATTTTTAGTAATTTTTTGTCTCGATTCCTAGATGCTCATAATAACGAATTTTCGAAAAAAAAGTTGAAAAACTTGAATTTTGCAAACTATAAAACGTCCCGTATATCCACGGTCAAAGTTACCGTGGAGCGTGTGAATAG